CAAGAAAAGTGCTGGTGGGGGCAGGGGGAACCACATAAAGTGCATCAGGACTAGGCAGAAGCTTGTTTGGTTGTAAGGTTGTAACTTGCTTTTTGCCATCTCCTTTCATTACGGTGAGCTTTTTTCCACCCTCTGATTTGTCCTGCATTATCTGTTCCAGCTGACATTCAGACTGTCTTCTTCCCCAGCTGCGGTGGTGTTGGCAGGAGCTTGTTAGCTCCCTCCCCCAACAGCGTTCACTTGCAGATTACAATGTGCTGAGCTGTCTTTGTATTAGGTATACAGTTTAAATGTCAGCCATTCAAATTCATTTTTTATCACCTGCACATTCTTCTGATTCATGTGAACTGTGTTCTCTAATATGCGTTAATTTGTCCTTATATGAGTGAAGGTTCTTATTGTCTTCTTTATTAAAGTTACAAATAAGTTTGCCTTTCATGCTGGAAGCAACCTTTTGTTGCTGGGAGATAATAGGACCCAAATTAGAAGCTCTTCCCCCCTCCCCAGCTGCCAGAGCAGTGCTAATTGTGGTCATGGTATGATACAATGTGCCTTATTTCCGTCATTAGAATATCCTTAAACAAAGAAGGCCGAACAGGCAGCAACTGGCCAGGGGTGGCTGTGCATTTTCAAAGGCCTTGTACTACCTCTTGAACAAAACCATCATGGGGCTGTTTCGTCTCCTCCCCTGCTACTCCTGTGGCAGCACCCATGGCTACTGCTTTTCAGGGAGGAGTGAAAAGTACATGACACTTATGTAAGAACCATGGTAAGTTATGCAATAAGAGTACTTGGCGGAGGAGAGAAACAGGAGCAGTGGCATTGATACCTGTGTTTTTAATGTTATTTATTGATAATATTTATATCCCGGCTTTTCTGCCTGATAACCAAAATCTAAAGTGGTTGATCAAGGAGAAAAATCAGTGTAAAATATATAGGATTTTTTCCTATTCCCGAGGGAATGGTTATTTGTGTAAACTTGGGAGAAGGGGAGACAGTGCTGGAAAATGACCATTTCTCAAGCCTTGGGTGGTGATGCTGTTTCAACATCTGCTCTTTAAAGTCTCCTTAGCGACCATAGGTGAGAATAGCTCACTCACTTAAAAGCGAAAGATAGCTCACCTAAACACACAAGCACAACCCGCCACAGTCAGCACCTACCTTCATCTCTGTCATCTGTTCCCTTTTTATCTCCTCTATGTCTGTGTTTGTTTGGACCAGCATATTCCTTAATCCAAGGAGGGGACTCTGATTCATAGAAGCTTGGACTTCCTCAGTGCACCTGCCTTCTAGGGACGACCAGGAGCTTGGGGTGGAGACAGGAATCCCTGCTGTTATCTCACATCAGTGATTAGATATAACACTGGGCAATGAGGATTCCTGTGGGTGTCACTTAGAGGACGAGGGGCATGCAGAGGGGACCCCAGACAGTTACTTTGAATCACTGATTGGAGACAACAGAAGGGATTTCTCATAGTCCTGCACTTGGCTTCCAAATTGGGAGGAAGAATAGCAGGCTTAAATGCTTTACCCGCAGCACAGCGTTCCCAGTTGCAAAAGGTTGGGGCAGGTGAGGCAACAATGCTGAGGTACCAGGTGGAAGAGCAGTTCTCCCCGTGTTTCTGTCAGGGCTGCTTGGTACAGGCTGACTCTACCTGGCTGGTCTTTCTCTGACATGTGCCAAAGCACCAGGGGCGGTGGCTGCCTCGGAGTGGATAGATTTGGTGGAATACTCTTTTTGTAGTAGTAAGTGGGAAGCAGGTATGTAACAGACATTTTACATACCTAACATTATAGCAGTTTTCTCAGATAACCTGGAAAGAGTATTTGAACTTTTTGTTATTCTATGTGTGGTGGTTCAGACTTCTTCCATGGTTATGTCCATGGGAGGGGAAAGTGGGTGTCGCATGACTTTGTGGTGAAAATAGCAGAATGCATGGAGTTATACCCATGTAAACAAGAACATTTTCTATTTTGGTATCTTTTGCTTCCATGAGTAATATACAAATGGTAGCATGTAATGATACTGCATTATATCTAGTGCAAAATGGGGTGTTTTGATAACAGTGATACACATGAAAGCAGCAACGATGATAAAAATGACTAAATGAGTTTTAACTGCTCAGAAGAGCATAGTTAGGTGTCCATATAATTTGTCACCCTCAAAAGGAAACAGACAAGAAGCAGAAGAGAAGTGTTATTTCTTTTAGTCCTGTTCATCCACCCAGCCTAACACTTTGCTTGAAAAAAAGAAATTCTTATGAATTATTTCCAGAAATCGTTGGGAAAGGATGAGCTACATGTAAATAGGGAAAACATCTCAAATTTTTAACTGGGATCTTAAATAAGAGCAACCAAGGAAAACCACTAATTCTTGGCTACATGAAGGAAGGATAAGCTGCAATTTAAGGAAGGCCATGGGATTGCTATTACTAAAAACTATAAAACTATCTTAAATAGTTTTTATATGGATAGGCTGTCTGCAGATAGGCTGTCATATATGGATAGGCTGTCTGCAGCATTTAGCTCCTTCCCGAGGTTTTGAGGTCAAATGTAGAAGCAGCCATGCACTTGCCATCTGAAACCTTTATATAATGTTTTGTGTATGTGGTAGGCCTGTATGGAAGATACCATGATTTTAATGCAGTGCAGGGACACATTTTATTCCTGGGTAGGAAATCCTTGTATGGACAAGTAGTAAGATCTGCTTTTGAACAACTGCAGAGTATTGATTTGACATGTGGACAAGTTTCCAACAAGTATCATGAGTGTATACTGGACCTTAATTCCTGATGCCACAATTTTTCTTTCATACCTTGGACCCGCAGCACTTTGATAGCGTCTCCTTGCATTATAAAATGTAAATGATAAAGTTCCCCTGCTTTCCCTTGGTACTAGGGTGTAGAACCTGAAGTTATTCTTTTGATCAAACGACTTGTATCTAATGGTGGTAGAAGCTGTTTCAGAGACCTGTTTGGTAATATCAGTCTCTGGAAGGCAGCCTAAATCTTTTGGCTGACAGTCTGCATTGTATATTGAATTAATTTATTTTGGTTAGTTCCACTGAGAAGTTGGTTAAAAAGCATAATGTATATATCCCTAAATAAAGCCCTACTTGGTCATTCTGAAAAGAGAGGCTGGTTTGCTTAGATTCCAACCCCATTTCTCATCTTAGCTCACTTCTTAACATTCTGTCTATTCCTGGCTGCTACTACTGTCCTGTAATGCTTTATCTTCTCTTCCCCAACTCCAAAACAAGATTTGCAGTAACTAAATTATTAATAATTAAAAGTAATAATTTTAATTAACCTCTCCCTCTAGTCATATTCTTGTGTATTTGCTGGAGCTCTTAGCCATTTTTTAGGTCTGAGAATTTTTCTCAAGGATCCTGTTCATAAGTTTTTTTGATCAAGCAGTCTGAGTCATAATCCCTGGAAAATTACAAAGATACTGAAAGTGCACTGTGCCATCAGGGTGCATCTTGACTTTTAATTCTAATATGCTGGCCACATTATACTAGTCTGCACAATCTCCATTCTTTTGTAGTGTGTTGCCCGGATATCTTTGTCAACACAAATGAATATATTTTAAATCCTGTGTGTTATATGCAGCTACTTATAAAGTTAAAAACTTGACTAGAAAGGTGAAAAATGCTGTTGAATAGGCTTTTGTCACTCTTTTTTTGTTGTTGGCATTTTTCTATCTTCATTTTTTCTTTACCTTTAATGCATCTGTTCGAGATGCAAATACATGTGAAAATGGGAAGCAAACAAAGAAGCAGCTTGGAACCTTGTTTATGTCTTGAAGCTTAATATCGATATGATGACAAGAACAGCTTAAAATGCTTCAGGCTGATTGCCTTCTCTGTGTGCACAAGGAAGAGGAAGGAAATGGATTAAGGGCCAAACTTAAGATATGTTAAATGCAAAATTGTATATATTAGCATGCCTGTTAAAAAAAATAAATAAGCAGCCATAGGGGCTGGTAACTTTTGGATGGGGCCCATGTTATGGTTTGATCCCTTTCTCTCACACTGTTTACCTGATGAATACCCCCACCCCACCACTGCAGGGGATGCATATAGCATCTTGGGTAGGCAGGCAAATTCATTGCAAGCCTAGCACCAAAAAACTACCAGAAATGCAACCACACATTGAAAATACAGTTAAGATTTTTTTTTAAAAAAATTACTACCCCTGTGAAAATTACTGAGCCGGTAAATGGGCTTAACATATAGAACACTGCATTAAAAAGCTCCTTCTCATCTGTTATTCTTAATAGAAATCTTTGTTCAAAGGCAAACATCTTCTTTACATTTCACTTGACTTGTCATGTTTTGATTATTCAGCTGGAGAGCAGCCTGGGGAAGGCAAAGGGAAGTTGGGCTGTCTCCAGTCACTGTAGCAACTGGTGGGCCTTGTGCACTAGTAGGCTGGTTGTGTATCTTAAAGGCTACTGGAACAAAAAATAAAATAATAAAATATTGCTCACCAACACGTACTGAGGCCATGTGGGTGGGGGTGGTGATGAGTTCATAGGAAGGACCAAACTCCCACTGGATGCACAATGCAAGTCGGCACCTGCTCATCTGGTGGCCATTCCTGCAACTTCCAGGTGACCAGGTGAGTGCTTATTTTCAAGCTTAGCATCTACCATTCTGCTGATTAGTGTGCACAGGTTTGGTTCTGCTGAATTCCTAATAGTAGAGTCCTCTAATGTAGAGGTGAGAGAAAATAAATCTCCAATTGCTTTGGACTTTAATCACCTGCATTCTTGACCATTCACATTCCAGTTATTAGCATGGACTGTGAGAATTGGCCTTGGTATTCAGGCATACAATTTTGTGAGCCTTTGAGAACTTACAGGATAAGCATTGTTAGGTATAAATAGTAAAACTAATTTTTTTTTTACTTTTCATGTATTGATCAAAGCAAAACCAGGAGGATATCAGGATAATAACATAATGAGGAGACATTCTTTTGTTTATGATCTTTTCTTAGGTTAGGAGAGTACCAGGGTCCAGTGGCCATCTACACAAGACAGAAGATGGAGATTGGGAATGGAGTGATGATGAAATGGATGAAAAGAGTGAAGAGGGCAAAGCTGCTTTTTCTCAAGAAAAGGTGACCCTTGCAAATTATGTGGCTGTTGTAATTCACTGATGTAAACTTTCTTTATTTTGACATATAACGTGCAGCTAGTAACTATGGATGATTGTTTTCTAGTCACGAAGAGTAAAAGAAGAGGAGAATGCTGAGGTAAATACCTGTTTTTGTTTTTCTAAAGGTGTGAGTTTTAAAAGTCATTTTATCTATGGTAAATCAAGAATTTTGAAGTTTTTAAAACTTCAAAATATATAAAATAGGCACAAGATGTAGGTTTTGTGGGGGGAATACAAAACAAAAAGTGCCTACCCTTTATTTTATTGTTTTGAAATGCCATTGTACTAAACTGACAAAGACATTTGGGGGCAAAACCATTGATCATTTAAGATGATTGTATTCATTTTACATTTTTGTGACACGTTTAAAGTAACACCAAAGTGACCTGAACCTGTAAAATTTAAACCTAGTAACACAACACAAAGCCAGTCTTTTAACCCCTGAAAATATCACTTCATTTTCATAGAAACTGAGGCAGCTGCCTCTTAAGGAGTCTGAGTCCATTTGGTCCAGATTTGTCAAAACCAGCTGGGAGCCATTGTCCTCCAGGTTTTTAAGTGGGGATGTCTCCTGCCTTGTGTGGAGATGTTAAGCACGTGCTCTGCCACCCCCGTGTGTCCTTTCCGGTCTCCTTTCTTTCTGGAGCCTCTTAGCTCAAATAACCTGCAAAAGGGCAGAAGGAGCTCCAAGTCAGTATGGAAGGTGGTATTGGGTGTGCAGGAAAAAAAGGAGACTTTTGCAGAAAAAGAAAAAAGGCCTCTCTCACCCTCCCACTTAACAGAAGCCTCCACAGGATCAAAGAGCCTTTCCTAAATAGAAGAACAACTTTGGATTCAACTCACTGGGTTTTATTCTTGGGTTTAAAATTTTTCTTTGAAGTCATGTGATGTTGGTGTGTTACAACAATTTAAAAAAATTCTTTGTGCTTTCTTCTAAATATCTTAATTATTTGAAACAGATTTCCATGAATTCCAGCAACATACCTGATCAAATACAGAATTTGTCTATAAAAGGACCTCAGGTACTGTCATTATTAAAAAGTATGATCATTAGATGGATGGGGTGGGGGATGTCACACAACTGAGTTACCTTGGTGATTGTGAAGTCTGAGTAGATTTGACATATGGTGAAGTGGTCTCCCAGCAGCTTCCCCACAATCCTAATTTGCAAGTTTGCTAGAGATTGACGTAATGAATCTCTCTTCATATCTGCCAGACTGTCTGCCTACTGATTAACCATGCCAGATTGGTTATTGTTATTGGCCTTGAGGAAAACAGGTATTGTGGTAAAAGGAGTAGTTATGTCTTCATTCTAAATATCATTGTTGCTTATGGGGAATAATCACGTAAGCTTATATGCAATGTGATGAGGATACTAACAAGCCGTTACTTGGTTTCTGATTGGAGGTAATATAGTGTTAATCCATCAGCATTGATAACAACATTATATTAAGCTGTAAGTTTGACTTAAAACAAATACCTTTAAAAGTTTAAATCTCAGTTAATCAGATTAATTTGATGAATAAATCTAAACTGGTTTGTTTGTTTGTTTGTTTGTTTGTATAGCACTCATTAGTTGGAGCTGCCTGAGCTCTTTAAAAACGAAGTTAAAACCATAAAATAACATAAAACAGAATATAAAACCATAAGCTTAAAACAGAATAAGACCAAAGTAATAACCAAAATAATTGTACTCATTCTCTTAATTTATACTACTTCTATATTTGGATTGTTCTTTGTAAGAGTTGGGCTGCTGCAAGGCCAAATAGGTTAACTACCTTAAGAAATTGATCCTCTTTTCAGCAACTTCCAAAATGATGTTACACCTCTTACAAACTGTTGATACTCTATTTTTTAAAATTAGACTCCACCTGCTGTTAGCAATGAATATGGTGAAATTCCATGCGCAGTGAATCTTGTTCTAAGACTAAGGTAAGAAGCTTCGTCTATTTATTCTCATATCCTTTTTTGGAGTGGTCTGCTTTATCTATTATTCCCCTCATTAAACTTTCATAATATTAGCAGAAAATAAGTGTTATTACAGTCAGTCTCCCAGTATGACCAATATGATTGGTGTTCCCATGACTAATTGCTCTCTTTTAATTGCTTAGTAAAATAGAAAGGGAGAAAGAAATACTAAATATGAACGTAGCTTCAGGCTAAAGGTACCCTTCATTAAGTGTTTTCTTTTTCCCCTCCTTTTTCATTGCATTGCAGGATCACAGTGAGAGATTTTTAATGAGTTTCTTTCACACTTCACCAGTCAACCTCTGACGGAAAGAAACCATGCTGTATTACAACGTGTCTGCTCAGAACATTTTTATTGGGCAGGTTTGATCAGCAACTGAGGGAGAAAAATGAGTGATACATTTTCAAAGAACTTTGAGCCTTTTAAAAAAAGATACACATATAGTGTCAGACTTTATAGTTCTTTAGAAGTAGACAAACAGTAATTTCCATTTTTTAAAATGAGTTGGTAGCCTATTAATTTCTTCTTAACTAGCAAGCTTTTCAAAGGCCTAATTAATTTTCACAGAGCTAGCTTAACATGCTTTTTATATAGTCCTAACCTAATTTTTTTTCTAGAACTTAAGCTAAAATAACCAGGAAAGCTATAACTTCTTCAGAGTTGATCTGCCTCTTCTTCCTTCTTTCATGGAAAGGAGGTGGCAATTTTCACTTATTGACATCCTAATACAGGAGTGTGAGAAAATGAGTACAGGTCTCTTCACAGTAACATCTTGGAAATGAAGATTAGTTGGAGGTCTGGATGATCTTCCAACAAGTGCCTCTGTTTTCCCTTTTTACATATCAGTTTCTCATGTGGCCCCACAAAGGTTCTTTGCATTCAGCTTGGTCAGCAGGTGCTAAGATAAGGCTCTCCTTTTAATTTTGTTATCCTTTTTCTTTCTGTGTAGTCTGTGAAAGGAGGAACTGGGCACATCTTCTGGGTGAGGAGGTATAAGAGTTCCAAATATGTGTTGAGAGTGTTCATATCAGCAGAATGTGTACACACAACTCCTTTCCTTTGCCAGTTATGCCTAAATAAGCAGAAGAAACCTATGAAAAGAGGAAGCAAAATCCTGCTCAGGGCTTTTTCTTCCCCTCCCCTTTCTGAAGCGTGCCTTAACCAGTTAGGAGGCCAGGAGGCAGAAAGATGTTGCCAGCTCTTGTTGCCCCCCCCCCCACATGAATTCCCTCCTGACAACCTCCATAGGTCACTGGCTTTTCCATTTTGCTGGTAGCAAACCAAACCAATTCCCACATCCCACTGCCACCTAATTTATGATCAATATACTGATCTGTCCTCTGTACAAACCTTTCTTGGCCTGTGTCCTTATTTGACAAGAGGATGATCTCATCGTCTTCTGCCTGCTGTTCTGTGTTGCTCCCTCAGTGTGCCAGCATACGGATTTCTAACACAAAAGAGGATGCAGCTTTTGTATCTCCATCTGGTTTGCCAACGCCTGCTCAGATGCTCTGCAGAACAATGTGGCCTTGTATATGTATGTGGACAGGGTGGCTTGATGGAAACCATGCCTTATCAAGAACTTCCCTCACATACAAGCACTAGGGGAGGAGACACAATCCATTCAGGACTCTTCCAGATGCCTGCCTGGTTGTGAAAATCTGCTCTGGCCCATACTGGAAGGCTTTGCTTGTGGGTGGCTGTGGTTTGGGTTCAGAGCCACGATTTCCCATTTGGTGCATTGGAGTCTCCACCATGTATGTTGACCAATCTCATCCACCACAGTCTTTCCAGTGTTAGTAAAGTGCAAGTCTTCGTGTCAGGGAGCGAAGAGTGAAGAAGCACATGGGAGAAGGCAGTTGCAATAGGCCTTTCAGCTCACAGAGGCTGAATAAAGGCTCTCGCCTCTCCTCCTGCAGCTGTAAAGCTCACCTAGTCGTCAACTCATCGCAGCTTTTGGCATGACATCGTTGATTCTGAAGACTAGTTGCCAAATGTGAAAGTAATGCCAATCAGATGCCAGAAATAAGCACTGGAAGCAAATTTTCTCTGTATGTTCTTTGTTCGCTTCTCAATAACCTTGCAAGGTAGGCTTTCGCACACTCTGATACAGCTTTCAAAGTGCCCTACTGGTCTGGGCGTTGTGCTTATTCACTGCTTTACCCTGCAGTTGTGTGCACAGGTGACTAGGAACAAGCTTCAGTAAAAATGGTGAGATTTACTTGGGAATTAATGTGTATTGAATTTTCCAGTGGAATGTTTTTTCATTCTCTCTCTATTCTCCCAGAGTAAAATTATTTGAGCAGTGCAGGGAAGAAGAGGTTTAAATTTTGGTATAACTCCTTTTTTGAGTATTACAGATTGTGGGCCTCATGTAGAGCTCTGTGTACATTCTTCTTCTGGAAGGAAAGGTCAGGCAATATTTCTATTCCAGTTGAATTTACAACAGCAGTCCAAGATAAGAGGTTTTATTTGTGTGACTTCTCTGTATGTTAGAAAGAAATGCTCCAGCCAGTGTAGAAACTGCATTACCTGTTTTGCTATTCACAGACTAAGCAGTTTGGTAGTTTTTTCTTTTTAAGGCTTTAGTGGTAAATCCACTTGCTCAGTAAGATACAATTCTTCTATCAATTGTATTCAGTTGCTCCTACCACTCTTTTCTGCATAAAGAAAGCTGCTTACAGTTTGTACCTTCATTGGCATGATCCTTTGGTTTTATGTGGTTAGCTTTGCAATGTGTTGCATTGAGTTGTATTAATACCAAGTTAATATCAAGAGCTAAATTCTCTTATGATCTTGGGCTTTACGCACACACTGCTGAGCATATTTTTAAGACGAGTTGTTGATAATGACATGGAGAATGCATTGGAATTGCCTTGCCCAGACTGGGGCCCTGCAGATGTTTTGTGCTGCAGTTCCCAGTGTCTGGCTGGGGATGCTGGCAGTTGTAGTCCAGTTCTTCTGAAGGTTGGGGAAGGCAGTGAAAGAGGAGAACCTATTTTGCCAAAAAGCAGTAAGCCAATGCCTGCATATTGATTACATTCTTCAAATTCATCTGATATTATAATTAGTCTTCATATACACACAAGAAGGTGAAGAAGTAGCTTAGGGCTCAAATCAAGTTTGGTATTGCAACAAATCTTTGCTTAGAGAAATTATGATAGGAGATTTCTGTATTTAGCTTGATGATGGATCAGAGATAGCGTATCCCTTGCCATATTCCAGGAATAAAGTTCCACCAAGGAAACGGTAAGTTTACAGAAGTCCTGATATTAACACAGAGTTTTTAGGATTCTGAGATCAGGCATGTCTTTTCATCTTTTAGTTCAAGTAGATTTTACATTTGATGTAAAAGTATTAAACAAAATACAAACTAGCTACAAGCAAAACATATTTAAAACTATTCTGTGTTTAGTTAGGGGCATTTTAATGTTGCTGTTCAAGAGAAAGTTTCTTACCCCGTGACTTTTCTGAGCCAGCAGCGAAATAGAGTAGGTAGGTCAAGTAAAACTGGTGCCACTGCTCTTTCGTAGGATCAGTGTTGCATCTTGTGAGAACTTACGTTTGGTCCTGAAGTTCTGCATTTTGCTTCTCATATTAAAGTGATTTTTTGTCGTGGCCTCTGTGCATCACACATATGGGTGCTGCGCCTGCGCAGTGCCTAGGCCAGAAAGATTGAAAGCTAACGGTTTTGGCGGGAAAACTCCCCTCCCCTCCCCCTCGGTAGTATATATAGAGCAGAGTGTCCGCCATTTGCTCCAGTCTTTTGCGACCACCGTTCACTGTGCCTCGTGCCTGTTCGTTTCTCACTCAACTCAGTATTTGCTCTTTATTCTTACTGTTCTAATACTCTTTGTTGTTGTTATTCCAAGTTATTATTCCCTTGTTATACTTTCCTCTTTCCTATATTCTGTTTCTTCCTTTTCTGCGATGGCGCAGCAGGCGGCCTTCACAAATGTGTGGAATGTGGGTCCAAGATGTCCCTGGTGGACCCTCATGACTTGTGCCTCCTTTGCCTCGGCGAGGGGCACAGGACAGATAAATGCTGCCATTGCCTTGCTTTTAGTAAGCAAGCGTGAAAAAATAGGGAGAATCGCTTGCGAAAGCTCCTATGGGACCAAGCGCTGATGCAGTCGGATCAGCCTGCAGCAAAGCCCAGGCCAGCGCGTGCTCCACCTGCCAAGCGCAAGGCCGTCGCTTCGACTGCATCGGGCCAGCGCCCAGCCTCTGCCCCAGACAACGCCCTTCATCCACACCGCCCATGCCTCAGCCGCAGCCATCGAATGATGGAAATTCCCCCTCCGGGGCTCAACAATCTCTCTCTCCCCCACGTAAACACCGGAAGAAGAGGAAACATGGAGGGTCAGATCACTCTTCTGCCCACAAAAAGGCGAAGAAAGACAAAGTGGCTAAACTGCCCCATAAGAAGAGGCATAGGGATTTGGGTTCTACAGCACCATCGATCCCGACGGCAGCTTTGGTACCAACACCATCGGTACCGATGCTTCAGGCAGCAATGCAGGTTACCCCTCCAGGGTCTCCAATACAACCTGCCCCTCAACAGGGCCTACCTATTGAGTTGCCCGAGGAAACACATCGTGAGTCTATCTCCGATGGGGAGATTAAAGACTCTCCTCCCAGGGCTTGGTCTTCGACCCCGATGCCTTCGGCAACAGTTTGGGACACATCTCCAGCCTCCCCACTGCCACCTTGGTCCTGGATGGACGAAAGGCAAGAGGAAGGATGGTTCCAGCCCTACTACAGTTATCCGTCGGGCTGGGAAGATTACCACTCCTTCGGATTTCATCCTCAGCCATGGGATCATTCCTCGCCATCCGCTCATGAGGACATGCCGTCCACTTTGAGACGTTTGGAACCTGAACGTCCCACTTCACCAGGGACTTACTCGTCAGCTTGGGCCCGACTCTGACTCAGATCTCCTGATGTTCTTATAACATCTCAG